TTGGACCAATCACCAGGAGACGGTGAGTTCTAGTCCCGCCTTAGGTATGAAAACCGGCTGGGTGACTTTGAGCCAATCACCAGGAGACGGGGAGTTCTAGTCCCGCCTTAGGCCTGAAAGCTGGCTGGGTGACTTTGGGCCAATCACCAGGANTAGTCCCGCCTTAGGTATGAAAACCGGCTGGGTGACTTTGGGCCAATCACCAGGAGACGGGGAGTTCTAGTCCCGCCTTAGGCACGAAACGGCTGGGTGACTTTGGGCCAATCACCAGGAGACGGGGAGTTCTAGTCCCGCCTTAGGCACGAAACGGCTGGGTGACTTTGAGCCAATCACCAGGAGACGGGGAGTTCTAGTCCCGCCTTAGGCCTGAAAGCTGGCTGGGTGACTTTGGGCCAATCACCAGGAGGTGGTGAGTTCTAGTCCTGCCTTAGGCACGAAAACCGGCTGGGTGACTTTGGGCCAATCACCAGGAGACGGTGAGTTCTAGTCCCGCCTTAGGCATGAAAGCCGGCTGGGTGACTTTGGGGAACAGAAATCGGGAGCTCAATTGCGTAAACCGAGGACTCCCGGAATTTGAAATCAAGCAACAAGTAGCTAGACCTGATTGGGGAGTCTGAAAAAGCCAAAGAGGAACAATAAAAAAAAAATTTTGCGCAAAAGCCAAACCACAATTTGCAAGTCGAGCTGTCTGACTCGCTTCCTCTTGCAGCCACGCCGCTAATGCGGAATCAAAGAATAAGGAAGAGTTGGAAGGGACCCTGGAGGTCATCCAGTCCAACCCCCCGCTCAAGCCAGAGACCCTCACAGAATCATGGAATGATACAGTTGAAAAGGACCTTAGAGGTCATCTAGTCCAACCCCTTGCTCAAGCAGCAGACATTTACAAAATCATAGAATAATAAGAGTGGGAAGGGATGTCAGAGGTCATCTAGTCCAACCCCTTGCTCAAGCAGGAGACCCTTACAGAATCATAGAATAACAAGAGTTGGAAAGGACCCTGGAGGGCATCTAGTCCAACCCCCTGCTCGAGCAGCAGATCTTTACAGAATCATAGAACAAGAATTGGAAGGGACCCTGGAGGTCATCCAGTCCAACCCCCTGCTCAAGCAGGAGACCCTTACAGAATCACAGAATAACACAGTTGGAAGGCACCTTGGAGGTCATCCAGTCCAACCCCCTGCTCAAGAAGGAGACTGTTACAGAATCATGGAATAACAAGAGGTGGAAGGGGCGTCAGAGGTCATCTAGTCCAGCCCCCTGTTCAAGCAGGAAACCCTTACAGAATCATGGAATGATACAGTTGAAAGGGACCTTGGAGGTCATCTAGTCCCACCCCCTGCTCAAGCAGCAGACCTTTACAGAATCATAGAATGACAAGAGTTGGGAAGGGACGTCAGAGGTCATCTAGTCCAACCCCCTGCTCAAGCAGGAGACCCTTACAGAACCATGGAACGATACAGTTGAAAGGGACCTTGGAGGTCATCCAGTCCAACCCCTTTGCTCAGCAGGACACTGTTACAGAATCATAGAATAACAAGAGTTGGAAGGGACCCTGGAGGTCATCTAGCCCAGCCCGCTGCTCAAGCAGCAGACCCTGACCGAATCACAGAATAACACGGTCAGAAGGGACCCTGGAGGCCATCTAGCCCAACCCCCCATTCAAGCTGGACATCCTATAGCACCGTTTCAGACAACGGCTCGTCTAGCCTCTTCTTAAAAACCTCCCGCGTTGGAACCCCTCACAATGTCTGGAGCCAAAATTCAGGACTGGCCGATTTAAAACTCTGCCTATGCTCAGGAGAACCTCTGCTAAGAGAAGGAGCAGCTGTTAACGAGCTGAGTTAACCATCTTAGTCAAATGTCGCTCAGAAATGATCCTTACCTCGGCTAATCCGCTGTTTCTCTCCGGAGAGGATTCCTGGGGTGTCAATCACACTTATGCTTTCCAGGACAGGGTTGGGCAGCTGGGCACACACAAATCTGAGGGGGGGGGGGAAAGGGGGGGAAAATAAATTAAGTTTTGTCCCGTTTTACGGCCTTGTCTGCCACCGTCACTAAGCGAATCCCTATAGGTGTTCAACTCCACGCTGGAGAGAGAGAGATAGATAGATAGATCATGGATGGATATAGATAGATGATATAGAGAAAGATAGATAGATAGATAGATAGATAGATATAGATTGGATGGATGGATGGAGATAGATAGATAGATATAGATAAATAGATAGACCGATTAGATAGATAGATAGATAGATAGATAGATAGATAGATAGAGAGAGAGAGAGAGAGAGAGAGAGAGAGAGAGAGAGAGAGAGAGAGAAAAGATGCGGAGAATGAGAGAGAGATGGAGAGAGACAGATGGAGAAAGAGGAAGGGAGAGAGAGAGGGAATGAGAAAGTAATGGAGACAGAGAGAGAAAAAGAGAAAGAGATGGAGAAAGAGAGAAAGGATGGGGAGAATGAGAGAGAGATGGAGAGAGAAAGAGATGGAAACAGAGAAT